AAGGCTGAGGCGAAAGGATCGCTGGAGCCCAGCAGGTCGAGGCCGCAGTGGCCGGGAGTGGCCACTGCACTCCAGTCTGGGCGACAGAGTGAGACTCCAACTCAAATAATAATAATAATAATAATGTACCATGCCATACTAGCAATGACAGCTGATGGGAATAATGCCAGCAGCAGCATTGACTTTGTGCTTCCTATGTGCCAGGCACTGTGCTGACCGCTTAGGAGCATTATCTCCCTTTATGCCAACATCAACCCTGTGGGGTAGGAACTATTCCTTTTTCCCATTTCAGACATGAGTAAAAAGAGGGAAGACCAGGTGCAATAAGATGGCTTCATCACAAATAAGATAATTATTTTTTCAAAAGATATACAATGTAGGCTGGATATAGTGGCTCACACCTATACTCCCAGCACTTTGGGAAACCTCTGTGAAGTCTCTGACCACCCAGCCTAGTGTCTGTCTCCCTACCTTGAGTCCATTAGGCTCCTAACCTCATACTTCCTAGATGAAAACTTCCTTTTATATTTCTACTATTTTTTTCATTGTTTAGTAGAGGTCTTGCTCTGTCACCCAAGCTAGAGTCACAGCTCACCACAGCGTCAGCCTCCTGGGCTTAGGCAATCCTCCCTCCTCAGCCTCCTGAGTAGCTGGGACTACAGTTGCATGCCACCATGCCCAGCTAATTTTTTGTTTTTGTAGAGACGGGGTCTCACTATGTTGCCCAGGCTGGTCTCGAATTCCTTGGCTAAGGCAATCCTCTCAGCTTGGCCTTCCAAAGTGCTGGGATTACAGGCATGAACTACCATGCCCAGCCCTCTTTCTAGTCTCTTCATGTATATAATTTCCCCCCAGCTTTGTGGACAGTTTTGAAGACAGAGAGCATATGTCTTGATTTTTCTCTGTTCTTCATGGCCCTGTGTAGTTCTTTCTGTACAAGGGGCACTCAAAAAATATTTAAGGAATAAAGTAATTTCTTCCTCTTCACTTTTAAGTTTTGCTCTTTCTATGAAAAATCTTAACCAAGTTATATTCCTTTCTAGTTTTTCTTACAGGACGTGATAGGCTGCATGTAAGAGGCATACAGGAAATGGGAATTGTATTTCGCTGTCCTGAAACTCTCAGTGAAAGAGACTGCCCAAGATCAGTGACTTGTCATAATATTCTAGACCTCCCTCAATATTCTACAATGGACAGAATGGAGAAAGCACTTCAAATAGCCATTAACAACTACAGAGGGTTTGTTTCGCCCATGCTCAGGCTGCAGTGATCACCTCCGAGTGTCTCAACAAGGGCACACTCATCCTTGCATCTTGCTGCTCTTCCTGACATCTAATTAATACAAGCAGACGATGGATTTCTGTTAGAATTAGCAGTCAGGGGGTTGAGGGGAATGGGGAGATGATGATCAAAGACTACAGAATCTCAGGCAGGAAGAATATGTTTTTTTTTTTTTCTTTTTTGAGTTCTATTGCACAGCGTGGTGAATATTGTTAATACTAGAGTATGGTACATTTCAGAATAGTTGAGTCAATTTCAAATGTGCTCACCACAGAAAACGCTAAGTATTTCAGGTGATGAAATTGTTAATAGCTTGATTTAATCAGTTCACATTGGATTCATAAAGGATAACATCACTTTGTACTCCATAGATTTATACAATGATCAATTGTCAGTTCCCAATACAACAAAGATGATTCATTGAAATATGTTTGGATAAATGATAAAATGATGAATCAAGAATTATATTTTTGGCTGGGCGCAGTGGCTCACAACTATAATCCCAGCACTTTGGGAGGCCGAGGTGAGAGAATTGCCTGAGCCCATGAGTTCGAGACCAGCTTGGGCAACTTGCGAGACCTCATCTCTACAATAAATCAAAAAATTAGCCAGGCATGGTGGTGCATGCCTGTAGTTCCAGCTACTTGGAAGGCTGAAGCAGAAGGATCACCTGAACCCAGCAGGTGGAGGCTGTGATGGCCGTGAGCATACCACTGCCCTCCAGCCTCGGTGACAGAGTGAGACTCCTACTGAAAAATAAAATTAAAAATAGCTTAATGGAGTAAATAAATAGGAAGATGATGGAGATGTAGATGGGAGAAGGAACAAGATACTTAACAGAGACAGAAATCAAAAGCATAGATAAGAATGCTGGCCGGGTGTGGTGGCTTATGCCTATAATCCCAGCACTTTGGGAGAGGACTGCCTGAACCCCTGGGTTCAAGACCAGCCTGGGCAACTCGATGAGTCCTTGTATGTATAATAAATCAAGAAAAATTAACTGGGTGTAATGGCACTTGCCTGTGGTTCCAGCTACTTGGAAGGCTGAGGCAGAAGGATCACGTGAGCCCAGTAGGTCAAGGCTGCGGTGGCTGTGAGTGTGCCACTGCACACTCCAGCCTGGGCAATAGAGTGAGACTTCAACTCAAAAATAATAATAATTTGGCCAGGGGATGGCTCAGTCTGTAATCCCAGCACTTTGGGAAGCCGAGGAAAGTGGATTGTGTGAGCCCACGGGTTCAAAACCCACCCGGGCAACTTGGTGAGACCTCGTCTCTACAATAAATCAAAAATTAGCTGAACATAGTAGTGTGAGACTATAGCTTCGACTACTTGGAAGGCTGAGGCTGAAGGATCACCAGAGTCCAGCAGGCTGAGGCTGCGGTGGCCAGGAGCATGCCACTGCACTCCAGTCTGGGAGACAGAGTGAGACTCCAACCCAATAAATAAATAAATAGATAGATAAATAAATAAAATAAGAATGATATTTTTAATGAAAAAAATTTTGTAAAACAACATTTCCTGTATCCCTATTAGAATGCTTTTACTGAATTATTTCCTGAACAACAATAATTATTTTAAAATAACTGAATAATAAAATCTGACAGATTTTTAAAAAAATATATTGTTCCGCTAGTGGACACTGTCTGCAAATATGAAAGACAGACTGAAATTTGAAACAATAAACAAAGCAAATAAATTTCAACATGTTTTTTGAGGCATATGGATGTATATTTTATATTCAGGGATGTCACTGACGTTTTGGCTTTAGAAAACTCTTGAATGATTTATTTGAAAAATCTGGATGTGAAGAGATTCAGTACTGTATTGAATGATTACTTATACTCAGTACAGTGTTCCAAGAATCATCTGGAATGCAGATATCATTATTTTTTGTTAAAAGCAGCCCAAGTAGGAGCCCAGTTCAATTGTAGTTGGGGAAATGGAAATAGGATGAACTATGTCTCATGATCATGGCTCCCAAGTGAACTTATAGAGAGATGGAACTACAGTGGGTAATGGCTAGTGAATTTTGTGGACTGCTTCTAGCTAATACTAAATTTTAAATTGTGTTATGTGGCTATGATTCCAAACACTTCCATAGTTTGCTATGTGAGTTTTGATGTGATAAGAATTTGGAATTTGAACTCCCCCCTCATTAAGCACTGAAAAAATAAAATAAAAATAGTCTATGGCAATAAACAGTGTGATTTGTGAAATCATACTTTGATCATCTCTTTATTTTAACCATACAAAACCAATGACAAGTTGCTATCTGAACGCCTGTTGTTATCCTAAACCATCTAGAAGCCTTGCATTAGTAGTACTTTGGTAATTGAATGACTATGGGACAAGTCCATGCTGGGTACCGACATAGAGGGATTCTTTCAAGGACAGACAGAACAGGATAGACAATTTCCCAAGGACAGTAGAATGTGAGGTGGCCATAGAAATACAAGCCCCCAGGGAATCCTGAGTTATTTGGGACCTCATTTGGTTTCCACAATAAATGGAATGAAGGACCAGGTTTATTCCACTTAAATTTTAAAGGCAAAGGGAATCTCTAAATATTGGGGGTCTCCAGGCACCTGACTTTTGGGTTGTGTCCTTCAGGCCTTTCATCACTATTAGTTTTCTAATGCAAACGGCGGATTTGTATTCAACAGCTGAGAAAGAAATAGTGCCAATTCTTAACACATTCTTTCAGAAAACAGGAAGAGGGAACACTTCCTAGTTAGTTCTGTGACACAAGCATTACCCTATTACCAAAACCAGACAGAGGCATTAAGGAAAAGAAAACTATAACTATCTTTCATGAACACAGACACAGAAATCCTTGACAAAATTGTAACATATCAAACAAGATATGAAAAGGATAACACCTCATGACCAAGTGAGATTTAGCCCAGAAATGCATCAAGAATCAATTAAATATTACCATATAATAAAAAAAAAAGAAAAACTATAGTTACCTCAGTATAAGCAGAAAGAAAATTTGACAAAATTCAAGTCACAGGCATGGGAAATACTCTTACTAAACTAGGGCTAGAAGGGAACTTCTTTGATTTGATAAGCTTGTATGTAGCATGGTGAAAAACTGAATGCTTTCCTACTAAAATTGGGAACAAGGAAAGGATGTCTCTTATCACTTCTATTCAATATTATACTAGAGGCCAATTATGGTGGCTCACGCCTCTAATCCTAGCATTTTGGGAGGCTGTGGCAGTAGGATTGCCTGAGCCCAGGAGTTTGAGACCAGCCTGGGCAACATAGCAAGACCTCATCTCTACACAAAACAAAAATTAGCCAGGTGCGGTGATGTGGCGCTTGTAGTCCTAGCTACTCAGGAGGACGAGGTGGAAAGATTGCCTGAGCCCAGGAGATCAAGGCAGCAGTAGCCATGATCATGCCACTGCACTCCAGCCTGAACAAAGAATGAAACTCTGACTTAAAAAAACAACACCACCATACTAGAAGTACCAGTTCACACAATAGGGCAAAGGAAAAAAAGGCATACAAGTTGGAAAGGAAGGTGTAAAAAGTGTCTTATTTGTAGACTATACTCTCATCTATGTAGATTCTTAAGGGTCTACAAAAACTACCAGAACTACTATAAAAATATAGAAAGGTCTCAGGATTCAAGGTTAATATATAAAAAATTGATTGTATTTCTATATAATCACAATAACCATAAATTGAAATTTGGAAAAGCATCATTTGCAATATGAAAAAAAGAAATGCTTAGGGATAAATTTAACAAAATATGTTTGACTAGACACTGAAAAATGGTAAGATTGCTGAAAAAAATTAAAGAAGTTTTAAATTAATGGAGAGATTATGTTCATGAACAGAACAGGCATGTCAGTTCTTCCCAAATTGATCTAATTTAATTCAATCTCAGTAAAAGTCCTGTAGTGTATTTTGTAGAAATTGACAAACTGTAGTGGGTCTTAACATGTGACATTAAAAAAATGAGTTGACAAATTGATCTTAAAATATACAGGAAAATGCAAAGGACTAAGGATAGCCAAAACAACACTGAAAAAGAACAATATTGAAGCATCTGTATGAACTGATTTTGAGACTTACTTTTAATCTACAGTAAATAAGACAGTGTGGTATTGCAGAATAAGTAAACATATATCAATGGAATACAATAAGAATCCAGAAATAAATCCAATCAAATATCTATAAAACAATAGGCTCACAGCCCAACACCCATATTAGTCAATAATATGGCACTGGTTTTTGAGAAAAGAAAGGATTCAGGAGGTGCAACTCAAATCTGTCTCCCCAATTTGGGACCCAGGCAAGTTTGTTTATTTATTTGGAGAAAGTCTCACTATATTGACAAGGCTGATCTTGATCTCCTGGCCTCAAGTAGGATCCTTCCTCCTCCTTCTCCCAAAGTACTGGTGAGATAGAATACAACGTCTGACAAGTTCAGGAATTCACCCTAGAAAAAGTGCTGCATACCTTATTGGTGAATATCACTACAGTCATCTTTAAGGTACTCCCCTTGGGAAGCTATGCACTGATGTCAGTGTCTAGTCCACTCATCAGAGCACTTTTGGAACTCTTTCTGGAATGGCCATCAGAGCTGTCATTGTACTATGCTTAATGTCCTGAATGTCATAAAAATATCTTCCCTTCAACATTTCCTTTATCTTCAGATAAAGAAAAAAGTCATTGGGGGCCAGATCAGGTGAGTAAGGAGGGTGTTACAATACAGTTATTTGTTTACTGTCCAAAAAAGCCCTCACAGACAGTGCTGTGTGAGTTGGTGCACTGTTGTGATGCAAGAACTCCTTTGGGACCATTTTGCATACACCTTTCTCATGCCAAGATTTTCAGTTAAGATTTTTCTGTTTCTCTATCAATGTTTATTTAGTCTGCTATGCTTCTTATAGTCAACTGGTGATTTTGATGCACAATTTGATGAATTTTTGCAATGTTTTTGTCAGTTCTGCTCATTACCAGCCATCCTAATCTCTCTTCAT